GCCGCGCGCCTCCCAAAACGACATTATTTTTGGTGGCGCTGTAGGAAGTTGCTGTGATTATGTATATTTGTTCATACAATTATGTATATTTGTTCATACAATTATGTATATTTGTTCACACAATTATGTATATTTGTTCATACAATTATGTACATTTTTTATACAATTCTGTACATTCTTTTTATACAATTATGTACATTCGAATCATGAAATTTTTGTGTATTATGTTAAGAGTTTATGTTTATTATGTATTATGTTAGATTATGTGTATTATCTTTTAAAAAAGAGTATGTATATTTTGTTATATAATTATGTACATTCATGTATACAATTATGTGTATTCTAGTATAATATTATGTACATTTTTTAACATGGTTTTTTTTTAAAGAAAAATTAACTGCCAATCACTAGGGCGAGAAATTTCAAAAAAAAAAAAAAAAAAAAAAAAATTGAAACGGCGTCGTTTTGCATCTGGGCGCACAATGCAACGCGCGTCGTGGTGTAGGATATAAATTGCCATTTATCCTCACTAATATTAGGGAACTTACCTTTCATGTCCAAGAGAAAGAGGTCCGCCTCGTCTTCTTTAGTGAAGAGCTTATTATAGAACTCATGAGCCATTTTTTCCATGTCATATACGGTGTACATACACAGTATATATAAATAGAAAAATAAAAAACAAAAAACAAAAAAATATTTGAAATATAATGGGTGGCCCAACAAGTCAAGCATGATCTTTGTATTAGAAGGTTACTAGTTTGATTCTTGCCAACACGTTCTCGTGCAGTTGAGTCGATCATTTTCTAGTGTGATTTACCACTCCTGTGTAATTTGCAAGCTATTACACAAGAGCAATAGTTACTCACTGAAGTCATTGCATGCACCCTCGAATAGTTTATTGCGGGAATAGAATTTAATTAAATCCTATCATTAACTAAAAAAGCTTTGTGTGAGCGCTAATAAGACACATCCTACCATCTCTAGGGTAAGAGCACTGAGGCGGCCGGTAATTAATGAACACTTAAATTTGAGGTTCAAACAAAAATATAAACAAATAATGTCTCAATTTAATTATTTATAACGTCTTTAATTTAATTTATTACTCTTAATTATGTTAATGAAAGTTATAAGTTATCGAATTGAAGTTCGTGGTTGGTATAATGCCTGCTTCTAGGATTTGTTATAAGCATCAATAAATTGTGCTCGATCATTGCATAAACCAATCGAAAGATCGATCTGAGGGGTGAAAAGTGAGAAAGATTAGAGAAGTAATATAATAATAATAGAAAAGATGAACATCTTTTTGATATTAGCATTGCTAATAAGCATAGGAGAAATGAATTTCTCAAATGCATTAATAAGTGATGAAGAAGAATTAAAATTATTTGGTGAATTTGTGAAAAGCAGGGGTGATTCTGAGTGCCCGAATGCTAGAACACTTTCGAATAAATGCGTAACACAAATCGTTAAAATCGTCAAACAAGATGGACGTACACTTACCAAAGAATTGCCTAGCAAACAGTGCTGCTCGGAGCTCGTAGGTTTGGGCGAAAATTGTTATTATACCTGGTTGAACCATGATATTAATTCTTTGCCGACGCTCGATGAGAGTAATTTTTTTATATTTTCTATTGAATTTTTAGTAAATGTTGACACCGTATGGACTAGTTGTCAATCTGAAGTGCTCTAAATAAACTTTATATTTAGCTGGATGGATTATATTATATATTTTTTCTTAATGCATTAACCTCAGTAATTGTCCAATGTTATTTCTCTAATTTGTTATGAATAATTAAATTGCAACTTGTCTCCAATCCAAGTGTCCGAAATTCACCTTACAATGGTCACCTTCTTGAAGCAACCGCCACCTAGGTATGCTAGCTACATTTGTGATCAATCTGGCTTTCATTTGAAACATGTTTTAGAGAAATAAATCTAAGACTTATGGAGGCTGGCCCTTTGTCCCGAGGCACGACTAAACTTGGCCAAACACTCCTTAATCGTCATAATAATCTGGTCCTGCGTGGCTTCAACAAAGAGATTTATATCGTCAGCAAAAAATAAATGGGACAAGTTAGGACCAATCCTGGAGAGGCGGATTCCTTTCCATTTCTCTCGTTGGACTTCTTCTCTAATGAGGTGGTTAAGTCTTTCCATGCTTGTCGTTCCAAACCACACTACGTTTAGTTGTTTCCACGCAAGCCATAATATTACGAATCCAGTCTTGTTTCATTCCACTTCCACTACTACAAATAATATAATACTTTTAACATCATTTTTTTTATACATTTAACGTCAATTTTTTTTTTTTTCCAACATCAGTCTAGTAGTAGTAGACGTAATAAACAAAAGATACGACGTCGGTTACAAAAAACCAACGTCGTATTTTTTTAAAAAAAATTAAAATTCAACATACGCCGTTGGTTGTTCACTAAAAATCGACACCATAAATTAATTTACCAATTTTTAATAAATAAATGATGTCGGTTTTTCTGACGCCAATTATTTTTTTTAAAAAAAGATAAAAATTAAAATACCGACGTCGTATGTTAATTTAATTTAAAAAAAATAAACGGCGTTGTGTTTTCATAAAAACCAGAAGTCGTTTATTTTTTTTAATTTCTTTTTAAAAAAAATTATTATACGACGTCGGTTTGCTTAAAAAATCGACGTCATTTATAGTTTTTTTTTTTTTTTGCAATTATTAAATTTATTTTACGATTTCAAACGAAAATATGTACAATTTTACAATTTACATCAATTTTCAGAACTTGTGTAGCAATTTGACATTCAAATTAAAATCTCACAATTGATCAAGCTAATAAATTTTTCAATTAATCAAACTAATAAATATCACAATTAATCTCAATAAGCAACTTAGACCATCAACTAAAGAAGTTAAATTAATAGTAATTCTACAATTGATAGTAATATAATAATTAATAATAATAATTTGAAACTTAAATTATCAACATCAACTAAAAAAATATTCCATTCATCGATATGATCGCTAAGCAACTTAGACCATGCCTCTCTAATGGATTTCATCACATAATAGCCGCATTCGTTAGTTCGTCTTTGTAAGGCACACTGTGTAAAGGACTTCTTGGTAGATCAAGATATTGTTAACAATTTGCCTTCCCGGAACAAAAATGCTCTATTCAGGTCCAACAAGGTCCTTGAGAATGGGTTTGATCCTATTTGTAATGGTCTTGGTGATGACTTTGTAGATCACATTACAGATTAATAGGTTTAAACTGACTCATATTTTTGGGATCCTCCTCGATTGTCTTCTTTAATGAAGAGCATATTATAGAACTCATGAGCCATTTTTTCCATGTCATATATGGTGTACAGTATATATAAAAAAAATAAAAATTATTCAAAATGGGTGGCCCAACGAGTCAAGCATGATCTTTGTATTAGAAGGTCACTAGTTTGAATTTTGCCGGCCAACGCCTTCTCGTGCAACTGAGTCTGTTGTATTCCTAATGTGATTTACCTCTCTTGTGTAATTTGCGGACTATTACACAAGAGCAATGATTACTCACTGTACTCTCGAGTATAGTAGTTTATTGCGGGAATAGGATTTAAATCCTATCATTAACTAAAGAAGCTTTGTGTGAGCACTAATAAGGCACATGCATCCTACAATCTCTAGGGTAGGAGCAATGAGGTAATTAATGAACCCATAAATTTGAGGTTCAAACAAAAATATAAACGAATAATGCATGTCTCGATTTAATTATTATTTATAACGTATGAATTTAATTTATTACTCTTAATTATGTTAATAAAAGTTGTAAGTTATCAAAGTGATTGGTATAATGCATGCTTCTAGGATTTGTTATAAGTATCAATAAATTTTGCTGATCATAAACCAATCAAAAGCAAAAAGATCGAGAGGTGAAAAGTGAGAAAGATCAAAGACGCAATATAATAATAATGAAAAAGATGAACATCTATTTGATATTAGCAATATTGCTAATAACCATAGGAGAAATGAATTTGTCAAATGCAAGAACTGATGAAGAAGAATCAAAAAAATTTAGTAATTATTTGCAAAATGAAAGTGAACCTGATTGCAGGAACGAGACTGGACGACCACCTTCGAATAAATGCGCAGTAGAAATTGCTAAAATCATCAAAAAAGATGATGGACATACAATTACTAACGAATTGCCTAGCAAACAGTGCTGCTCGGAGCTCGTAGGTTGGGGAGAGTTTTGTTATTATTATTGGTTGAACTATGCAAATTCTGAATATTCTGTTGAATTTTTAATAAATGTTGACAACTTGTGGGCTGGTTGTAAATCTGAAGTGCTCTAAAACTTTATATTTAGCTGGATGGATTATATGTTTTTTTTTCTTAATGTATTAACCCGCAGTAATTGCCCAAGTTCGTATCATATGCATGTTCAGGATTAATAAAAGATTGATATTCAATTTTATTTCTCTAATTTGTTATTTATAACATATTTAATTTAATTTATTACTCGTAATTATGTTCTTCAATAAAAAGTTATAACTTATCAAAGTGGTTGGTATAATGCATGCTTCTAGCTAGGATTTATTATTAGCATCAATAAATTGTGCTCATAAACCAATCAAAAGCAAAAACAAAAGATCAATCGAGTGGTGAAAAGTGAGGAAGATCAAAGAAGCAATACAATAATGGAAATACTAACACTTTGACCCTATTTGGTAGATGGCGGATAACTGTTAGTTGTTAGCTGATTGTGTTAATTAGAGGGTATAACTAGTAGTTGATAACATTAGCTGTTGTAGAAAAGTGTTTGGTAAATTAGCTGTTACCTGATAGCTGTTTGGTATAATTTTTTTTCTAAAAAAACTAGTTGAAAAAGTTGCTTGGAGTAGCTTTTTGAATTTTAGCATTTTGAAGTTGCAAAAAGCTAATTAACCAAACAACTAAATTAATACTGATCAAATAAGTTAAAATTGACCTATAAGCCAATTTTTTACTAAACTGGGCTAACACTTTATCTTCTGTAGAGAGCAACAATGTCTTCATTTAAGCGTTGTGCCTCAAGAACCATATCTCCACAATTCTGTGGATCCACAGGCTGCATATTGAAATCTGGATCCCCATTATACTCATTCCACTCAAACCACATCTTTGAGATTGATTCCTTCTTAAAGCATGTGGAGTGGTCTTCCTCCTCAGGGGATCCAGAACCCACCAATCTGTAAGCATACACTATCTTCGCCTGCCTGGGCCTGAATGCTCGCCCGATAGCCTGGCGAGTGATCGATGGGTTCAGGTGAACATCCAATATGATGACCCGAGAAGCACCAACGAGCGATATGCCTTCCCCGCAAGCTTTGATTGAGCCAAAGAAGACTCGAGCTTGCGGGGAAGTGTTGAATTGCTCCATAGAAGACTCTCGTGTTGCTGAGTCTGAGTCCCCGGTGATCGAGAAGATTTCGTTGCCAGTTCTATAGCCCTTGGTGTTGATGGTTAGCCTTTCCAGGAACTTCATGGGAAGTAAGTACTGGCTAAACACTAATAGTTTTTCACCCATGGCTTCACAGAGATTCAGAAGGTTTAGGAAAAATTTGGCCTTTACTCCTTCTCTTATGTCGAAACCAGCCAGGGTGGTATCAATCCTTTGCTCATCAACTCTTTCCTTAGCTTCAGAGAATCTGCAGAGATCTTTTAAGCCATGGTGGACACAAATGGCACTTCCTTCAGAGCTTATCTTGAACTTTGAACCCTCCATTTTCAGTTTATCAATTGACCTTTTCTGTTTGGGATGAAGTTTAAGAAAGACTGTGAAATCCATCAGCCCAGGAAGATCATCCAGGGAGTCCCCTTTGTAGTAATGAAGAACATTTTTGGTCATTTCCCTCAGATCACATATGAGGGAACATTTCCTCTTGAGATCAGTGTCGTTTAAGAGCGTCTTCTCCACGATATCGAAGAAAAAGCTGTCTGAATTTTGCTGCTTATTATTGCTCCTTCTTATTGAAGCTGTGCTCAGTATTCTTCTCATGATGGTTCTTGAGCTCTCGAGCTTCAGGAACTGCGGGCGAACGAGGTTGAGGATGTTGAACACCTCGTTGACATGATTTTGGTACAAGGTTCCAGAAAGCACGACCTTTCGAGGCGTCTGGACCTTTTCGAGTGCAATCATGATGTCTGTATCTTGGTTCCTGGAAGTATGGCCCTCATCCAGAACCAGAACTGATGGGCATTTCAGCAGAATCTCTTGACAAGCAGCTGAAGCCTTGTTTCTGCAGATATCGCATATGATCGATGAGAACTGCTTGTATCCCAGGAACATAATGCTCCTCTTCTCTGCCCATTGCCTTAAAACACTCATCTGTTGTGATCTGTTATCTGCTCTGACAGAGTAAAAATCATACAGAGGAAGATCCTCCTCAATCTGCCAATTCTGGAATTCTTTCTTCCAGGTTTGCAGTATCCCTCTTGGCAGCACCACCAAAGGCCTTGCTTCAGGGTATCTGGCCATGAAACTCTGCAGAAAACTTATGATCATAAACGTCTTGCCCGAACCAGGAGCATGGGCCATTATACAACCCCCCGGATTCTCTGTCACCAAATTTCTGGCAAGAAAATTGAAGCCCTCAACTTGGTGGGGTTTCATGAGTGCTCTGTGCCTTGGATGAACACAAATTTCAATCACAGGAAGCTCCTGATATGAGTGGATGGCCTCATCAGTAAGGTTTTCATCAGCATTCCCTGAACCCCTTACTCTCTGCCCAGCATAGGTTCTCTGTCTCTTTGGTTCCTTGATGAACATTCAAAACAGCATGAGATTAGGAAACAATGAAAGAAACAAAATAACATTGTAATTCTCAAAAGTGGACAGAAATGATTAATGCAGAGAATTACAGACCTTAGCAAATGGATAATCGATAATCGTCTCGATGCTTTTCTGAATTAGTCCACAGATTCGACACACAAGGCCAGTATCATCTGTTAAGATGACAGAATGCTCACATTTTTCTCCTTCTCCTTCTTTTCCTGTGTCTTCATCAGCCAAAGCTTCCACAGGAGTTTCCTGTTTCATAACACAAAAATTATTAAATTCTCAAAAGATATCGGTCCGGTATCAGCTAATTTTCACTTATTTGACAACTATTAGCTGTTTGACTTGTTTAAACATTCAATATGAGTGTTTGATTAATTAGCTTTTTGTAATAGCTTATTGTTCCAAAATGTTAAAATTCAAAAAGTTGCTCAAAACAGCCTTTTGGATCATGTTTTTGAGAAAGTCATTTTTCATGTAATCAGCTATCAACTAACAACTAATTATATAACATTTTTCTACTATACAATCAGTTAATTTAAGCCAATGACCTTGTGGTCTAGTGGCACCAAGTTTCTCCCATATGAAAGGTTGTGGGTTCGAGTTGACTGTGAAAAATAGTTATGAACAGATGCTGCATTGTAATAGAGAAAATAGTACTAAAAAAAATAACTATTTACCAAACATCTCATAATTTGTTGGTTTAGATGAGCAGAAAGCAAATTTACCTTTGAGATTTCCATGGAAAATGCCATTTCCTTCCAAATATCATCCAAGAGATCAGAATCGTCACCATTTTCATGTTCCATTTGTTGTATTGGTTTCTCTTTTTCTTGTCTCAGGTAATGAATCTGTAACCTGTTAACAAAAATTTAAAATTAAATACACACTATGAGAATGAGTGCATATTTCTGCAGGCTAAGCTACTACTCACATACATGACCAAAAGTATAATAAAACATTTTTTATGTGCATTTTCTTTTTTGAGAAAATTGTAAAATTCCAATATACCATTTTCTATATTTTCAATTTTCAATTGAACACCAAAAGTTTATTGCAACTATTTTCTTGTAACTCCAATCCCTATTGCAATATTTTTTTTTTTTTTTTTTTTTGGGGGGGGGGGGGGGGGGGGGGGGGGTCATGAACTTTTACTCAACCAATGACTGAAATAACACAACAAATATAAACTAGCATGGAAGAACTATGAACTTTATAAATTATAAAGAGTCACAAATTTTATTTTATTTTTTTTTAAAAAAATCACATTAGACAACTAAAATAAAAATTAAAAAAAATTAATCATGCCCAATTTCAAATCATTCCATCCCATCTTTACCCATCCACTTACTAAGATTACATTAATTAATATTAAGTTTGGAATAAAAAAAAATGGAGTGACTGAACTATAATTATTCGAAACAAGCACAATAAATGTGATAAAGTGACTACATAGACTATGCGGTCTAATAGTATTCGGGTTGGACTTCCATTTGAAAGGTTGTGAGTACAAACCTTAGTTGTGGTGTTATTGGTTTTTTTTTTTTTTTTTTTTTTTTTTTTTTTTTTTTTTTTTGTTTCAGTAGGTTGAGAAAGTATATGAACATATACTACAATGTAATAGAGCCAGTAACATTCAAATGAAAAAAAAATGTGATAAGGTGAGTATATTTAAAAATCTACCAAATTAAGGTCACTTTTTCATAATACTTGGATGCCCTTTAATTTATCAAACTTTTCGGTCAATTAATATGGTTTTATTAAGGATGAAATAAGAAAACTAACCTTGAGGACGAGTTTTTAGATAATGAATCCAAGGTGAAATAAGCATTTCTTTTTTTAAGGGAAAACTTGAAAAAAAAAATATTTTCTATACAGCAGGGCATTTGAGTGAAATATATAAAACATGGCGTCAAGGCGTTACAAAGTGAAAGTTGTTCAGCCTTTGGAAGAGTGAAAGTTGTTAAATGAGAAATTATCCTTGATTCAATCCCTATTTAATTATAAAAATAATTAAAAAGAAATGAGTAAATTGTTAAAGTTGGATGGAGAAAAGAAAGAAATAAATTAATTTGGACATAACATTTTAAACTATTTTAAAAAATTGACCAGAATCCTTTAAAACTAAGGCTTATAAATAACAAATGTCGAAAAAATCGTTAAGAACCCATTTTTTTTTAATTAACCTAAAATCCTAAATACCTAATTACCGAAAAAGCATCAATCTATAAGATTATAATTGATTAATTTAATTGAAAATTGTATACAACTTATAAGTTAAAACACAATTTTACAAAGACAAAAGGCCACAACTCACAACTTCAAGTGATTAAAATGGAAAATCAATAATGGAAATGAAAATGAAAATTTGTATTCTACAATATACATTCCACACCATAAGTCCACAAATCCAAGAAAAGATTCTGACATCAAAAAAAACAAAAACAAAAAACAAAAAAGTAAAGAAATTACCTAGGCGAGCCGCGACAACTAGAGTCGAATTAGGCGAAGAGGTGACTGGTACGGTGGGCGTTGGCGGAGGTGAGGCGGCACCCGCCAACTTGCATCTAGGTCGACTAGCGGAGACGGAGGCAGAACCGTCTGGGTTGGGGGTGGGGCGGAATTGCAGAGCGAAGTAAAGAGAGGCGGAGGAGTGCGACTGATGACTCGAGAGGCAATTTTTATTTTTTAAAGGGTTATTCGCTCAAAACGACGTCGTTTTGAGAGAATAACCCTTTAAAAAACAACGTTGTGAGCAAATCAGCCTGCTAGGTGGTCTAGGCGTCTGATCGCGGAGGAGGCCAGCTCCGGCATTCTTCGACACGGTCGGCACGCATGTGCAAGGCTCGTGCGCCGAAATCCTGGGATGGAAAACAAAGTGAAATTATCATTGATCTAATCTCTATTTAATTATAAAAATTATTAAAAATAAATGAGTAAATTGTTAGAGTTGGATGAAGAAAATAAAGTAAGAAATTAATTTCGAACATAACATTTTAAACTATTATAAGAAATTGACGAGAATCTTTTAAGAGAAAGACTTATAAATACTGAAAAAATGAAGAAAGAATTTCGATCAGTAAGTATATACATATGCACAATTGAGGCTATTTGGAGACAGAGGAAGAGAAAATATTTCTATTATCATTGAACGACTCTAATTTTTATGAGAAAAAAGTAATGTCAACGGTTATTAAGGAGAAAGAGAAAAAATAACGGCGACTGTGAAGTAAGAGAGATCAGATAAGAGCGGCGCGACGGCGGATGGAAAGCAAAGTGAAAGTGCTGAGAATTAGGTTTTGCCTAGGTTAAGTGTACCTGCACGGGCAGTGGCACCCATGTGCGGTGCTTGTGCGCCGAAACCCTGATATGATGGAAATCGAAGTGAAATTATCCTTGATTCAATCCCTATTTAATTATAAAAATAATTAAAAAGGGACTGAGTTAATTGTTAGAGTTGGATGAACAAAAGAAAGAAAGAAATTAATTTTCTGCACATAACATTTTTAACTATTTAAAAAACTTGACTAGAATCCTTTAAAACAAAGACTTATCAATAGCAATGTTGAAAAAATTGCTAGGTGTCCAATTTTATTTATTTATTTATTTTTTAAAATTAACTTAAAATCCTAAATCCTAAATAACTAAAAAACATCTATAAGATTATAATTGATTAATTTAATTGTAAATTGTATACAACTTTAAAGAATTACAAGTTAAAACTTAAAAGTTAAAACACAACTTCACAAAGACACTCACAACTCACAACTTCAAGTGGCCAAAATGAAAAATGGAAAATGGAAAATGGATAATGAAAATTTGTACTCTACAATCTACATTCCACACTACAAGTCCACAAATCCATCCAATTCGAGAAAAGATTCAAAAGAACAAAAAAAGAAAAGCAAAATAGTAAAGAAATTACTTAGGCGAGCTGCGGCAACTAGAGGCGAATTAGGCAAAGCGGCGCCCACCGGTTGGCATCTGGGTGTACTGGCGGAGGCGGAGGCAGAAGCTTCTTGGCTGGGTGTGTAGCGGACTGGCAGAGCGAAGTAGAGAGAGGCGGGGGAGTGCGTCTGACTGACTGTCGCATCTCACACTCGAGAGGCGATTTTTTTTTTTTTTAGGGTTATTCGCTCAAAACGACGTCGTTTTGAAAGAATAACCCTTAAAAACCTAGCATTGTGAGCAAATCGGTTTGCTAGGCGGTATAGGCGTCCGGTCGCGGAGGAGGCCGATTCCAGCATTCTTCGATGCGGTCGGCACGCATGTGCAAGGCTCGTGCGTCGAAACCTTGGGATGGAAAACGAAGTGAAATTATCCTTGATTCAATCCCTATCTAATTATAAACATAATTGAAAAGGAATGAGTAAATTGTTAGAGTTGGATGAAGAAAAGAAAGAAAGAAATTAATTCCGAACATAACATTTTAAACTATTTTAAGAAATTGACGAGAATCTTTTAAGAAAAAGACTTATAAATAGTGAAAAATGAAGAAAGAATTTCGATCAGTAAAGATATACATATGCACAATCGAGGCTATTTGGAGAGAGAGGATGATAAAATATTACTATTATCATTAAACAACTCCAATTTTTGTGAGAAAAAGCAATGTCAACGATTATCGAGAAGAAAGAGAGAAAATAACGACGACTGTGAAGTAAGAGAGATCAGATAAGGGCGGTGCAGCGGTGTATGGAAAGCAAAGTGAAAGTGTTGAGAATTAGGTTTTGCGTAGGTTAAGTGCACCTGATCGGGTAGTGGCACACATGTGCGGTGCGGGCGCCGAAACCCTGATATGGTGGAAAACGAATTGAAATTATCCTTTATTCAATCCCTATTTAATTATAAAAATAATTAAAAGGAAATGAGTAAATTGTTAGATTTGGGTGATGAAAAGAAAGAAAGAAATTTAACGGAGAAGCTCCCTCCTAGTACTGTTATTGCTTGACATTTTCAAGGAAAATATAATTCACTCACTAAGATGTTGGGATAAAGTATATTGATAATGCATAATGAGATGTACTTGTAAAAATAATAATAACAATAATAATAATAATAATAATAATAATAATAATAATAATAATAATTTGCACATAACATTTTATACTATATTTAAAAATTGACGAGAATCCTTTAAAACTAAGACT